ATAGAAACGGGTGAATGGTTGTAAGAATGTTTTGAAGAATTTAGGTCTGTTGTTTGCGAAAGGAATGAAGATTGTAGATTCTGTCAGTAAGAGGTTCCAAGAAGAGAGGTGCTTACATCAAATATGGTATACGTTCACGTGTTAGATGGATAAGTGGGTATTCCGGTGATATGGGATATACTTTTTGGGATAATTAATTGAGCTCTCGAAATGAGCCTTACTTAAGGAAGGTGAGAGGTTTCGATTGGTTTTTTGAGTATGAGTACAATCGAATTTAGCGTATCCGAAAATAATTCGATTGGGTGTTTAAAATATCGTTAGTAACCAGAATATCTCAAATATCTCAAAATATGCAAAGGTAAGGATGTGAAGTAAATTTCTGAAGATAAGTATCGTAAAAGTTGAAATATTAAAAATTTGTGTGAACATAATTTGATTTGTCGTGAGTAAACGGATTGGAGTGACGAATCAACAAGTCGGATGCTGTGTTCTGTATTCTCAAGATTCGCCTATGACTAATTATATTTGCGTAAGTATGAATTTGATTGACATTACTGTTAGTAATTACTACTCGATGTTTACTATTTGACGTTTTGTTATTGTAAGTTAACGTGTTTTGTTCGAGTGCCTCCGATTTGATACTGTCTTATATTTCATATTTTTCGTTTGAGATTGTCACTTATGATAGTGCTCGTCCTATCTCTCATATCGTACAAGTGTTAACTCGTTCGTAAATATTTTCAGCTGAATCTAGCGTGCGTACCTTTTTCATAGCTTGCCTGTATTTTCAAGATTTTAACTTTATTGGTAATATGACTTCATGAGTTCAGGTCTTTGAAATACTTTAATTTTACGTTTGTAAGTTTCATTTACGATGCGGTTTTTACCATGAAGCTGAGATTCTCGTCGTAATTCAGAAAGTCATATATACTTATGGGGTCGTTTAGGAATGTTTTTAGAGATTCTATCATCTATGACGGCTGCACAAAATATTGATGATTCAGTTTGACTCAAGTACCGTTTTCATTTGTTAGTCATTTGGGAAGAGGGAAACGTCTGGAAAGTTTGTTTTTTCACTTTAGATATTGAAATCTTATGACGCTTACTTTAAAAAACACTTCATTCTTCTGTAACTTGTGAAAACCTAATTTGTATATTTGATTTGTAATATTTAAAAGATGCAATGAAAGTTATTGCGTAAGTATTTGATGGGCTCGAATTAAAACGTACACACTTGTTGATTATTCAGCCTTAGTTGCTTCAGCACATCGAAAAAGAGTTGAATTGAATTGGTCTAAGTTTGTTTCGGAGGTGATTCATCAACGAAATTGCAAGGAAAGAATTGCTCTCACCTTTATTTTCTTTTCGTAGTCACCATATCATCGTTAAAATTGTTTGCTCAGATGAATGTTCTTCACTGAACTGAGCTGAGCTGATTGCGCTTCTTACAAAACTCTTTCACTCTTCATATATATTATCGTTGTTTCGTCTTTCATTCAAAATTTTATTTTGTTCAAATTTTGTTTATTGTTTGCGTTATTTATTGTAATATTTTCGATTGACGTTGTTTCATTTTGATTTCATTTGTTTGCTGGGTTTTTTTCCCCGTTGGAGAGATTGGAAGTAAAAGGAAGAGACAAACGAGCTAGCAAACTAATCCTCGATAAGAAACAAGCAAGCAGCTAAGGGAGGAATGCTTCTTCACTTTCGACGAGCTCTAGTTTCGGCTCGTGAAATATTGTGATCGTATTCATTCTCATGGAATGTTCTTCCAGAGAAGCCTTACATCGTAGGATCGCATCGTAGGATCACAGTCATAACATCTGATAGATCGATTGATTCGATTACATTGTTTGACGTCGTATCATTTTAGTTGTGTTCAAATAAATCTTGTACTTTTGAATCTATATGACGCAGAAGTTTAGATATGATATAATATGAATTTGGATTTGATGAATGTTGAGAGAATAGAATACTGTGAGAGGAAATTTGGTAAACATGAGTTCAATTGTGTCAAAATACTTCATTTTGGTTTGATCTGTGATAAATTTAAGTAAGATGATGCTTTAAAATATAGGTCTTTTCATGGATTTTATTCATTTTGTGACAGTCTCATCTCTATTCGTAGCTCCGCTCTTCCAGAATATGTGAATAGGATCTCGTAGAAATATGGATTCTTCGCAGATTGTACATTATCCAGCTCGTGACTTATTTGAAATTCATTTTGGTGCAGGAGGGAGGCATTTTTGTATTCATATTCTAAGTTTTCATTGCATGATTGGGTCACGTTTCATGAGAATTAGTTGGATTGGTCGGATATGCTTGGATTTCAAACGTTCCTGGGATTTCATACTGAACTTCGTTTCTATTCTTGATTTTCGACCCGTTGAACTTCCGTTATCCCATTTCCATTAATCCACGTCATGTTATCCCTTTTTCCTAGAACGTATGTGATGATCTCATCCTATCTTGTTGAAGTTTGTTTGCTCAGGCGTCTCCTGAGAGGTTTTTTTCAGATTTCATCATATTTCTGTGAAATGAACGATGAATTTTTTTTTTAGGAATCTCTTTCATCCTCATCACGAACACCAAGCACAGAGTCAGCATCGAATAGCAATGCTGTGGCACCATCATCAAGTAGTCAAGTGCACCCCTCTGCTGTAATATCTCCGACAGTGCCATCGAGACCTGGTTGGCAACAGGACGGTAAACGGGTATTCCCAACGTCAGCAAGCACCCCTCAAGCACAAACAACGCCCATAACAACAACAACTGCATCTGCGATACCACATCAACTGCAGAAGGAATCGTCTCTGTCAGCTATTTCCTCACCACCTCAATCACCATTGCTCAAAAAATCGTCAGTTCCATTTTATTTGCCGTGGATATTTGGAATTGGGATGTTTTATGGGTTGGTTCCTGTGGAAATAGGAAAAGTTCGTATTTGTGGGAATAAAAAGATTGCTCCTTTTAGAAGGTGTATTTACACTCGATCAACAGAGGGAAGATATTTGGGAGAAAATCTTATAGTCAGAAGGTTTATCGGTTGGAAAAGATGGGTTTTTATCGAGTTGAGAGGGGATTTCTGGGCGATTTAGTCTCTGACATTTTCCGGGAAAGTATTCAATTTTCGTGAAGTTTTTCACTTCGGAAGGGGAAATATTTAATTGTTTTTCATTTTATATTTATTTTTTCTTTATTTACC